GGTGCACTTGCGTACATGTAAGTAAAATAATCAAACGTGTAAAATAGTTTTTTAAAAAATGAAAGGACAGGAGTGGTGGCTACACGTGTAATCCCAGTAATTCAGAGACAGAAGCAGGAAGATCAGGAGTTCAGGGTTAAAGGGTCTCCCTAGATAGCCCAGATTGCCCTTGAACTCATGAGCCTCCTGCCTCAGCCTCTGGAGTGCTGGGATTAAGGATGTGTGCCACCACGCCCAGTCCAAGATAAATTTTTAAAACGGTGACAGCAGCCTTAGAGGACAGAGCCCTCGGTGAGGTCCTGACTTCATTACCGCCTGCCTCACCTCCCACGGTGCCCAGCCAGGCATGAGAGTAGCCGTCCCTTCTCTCACACACCTGCTGCCCCTGACCAGCTGCTTCCTGCCCACATACCCCCACGTTCTTCCTGGCTGCGGCCCTCCCTGCCGCTGCTGGGTGGTCAGGGGCTCTCTTTCACACTTCACATAGCTGGACGCTGGCACTATGCCAGCTTTCCAGCTTGCACACATATTGATTGGGTAGATGAGCTCTAAGGCTCAGGGCATGGCAGAGGTCTACCCAGGTCACAGTCAGTAGGTGGCGGAGCCGAGGGTGGGCGCTCTGGACCCCTGTGCAGTAAGGTCCTCATCCCCCAGCCTAGCAACCGCCACAGGATTTTGTAGCCCCTGCTTCATCTTCACCACCAACCTGTCTTCACCTGAAGGATGCAGCCATATCTAAAGCAGCCCAGCACTCCCGTTCTCCAGCCCTGTCACTTTCCAACTGAGCAACGAAGAGCGCATCACCCAGCCCTCATCTGGTAAAACAGGGAAGTGAACTCTGCCTGTGTCACGGGGCTGTTATGAGGATCAGTGGCGGTAACCCCACCAGCACTTAGACACAGGCCAAAAATAGAGTAGGTATTGAATACATGGTAGAAAATATTACTATTTCAGCACCAGCATCCCTCACACATGAGGTCTGGCCTATGAAGACTCCATGCAGCCCCCTATCTTCGGAGCAAGCTGGTCATAAGTGAACATGATCAGGGAAGGAGGGACTCTATGTGGCCTGGAATCTAGATGGGCCAATGACCAGCCAGCCAGTTGAACCCTCTGTGCAGTACATGGACTGCTACCACCCCTGAGGCCCCACCTGCTCCTGCCACATAGGCATATACTCACGGGAAGGTAGATGCAGCAAAGCAGAGGATGGAGACCAGGCCCAGGCCCACACTGGCCTCATCCCAGCCATCCTGAGCACATTCACCAAACACGTCCCAGATCCACTGGATGGAGCCGTTGGGGCAGATGGAAAAGTTGCTTGCGCCTAGTGTCCTCCAGACCATGGCCGCAGAGGAAGGGTCCCAGCAGGGAAGAAGGTGCAGGTGTACGTCTGGTCACAGTTCAGAGGCTGCCGAAGGTTCGTTCTACAAAAAGGGAAAGAGGAAGTCTTCAGCCTTGGGAGGTGTAGCCCCTTTCCACGATCCGGTGATGTCAACTGGCCCTGTCCTCTACACAGTGAAGATAAAGACAGGCTCTACTTCATATGACATTTAACATGTGACAGTTAACATGGGACAGTTCAATGAGTTCAAAGTTAGAGCGGGTGGGCCTGTATGCCAACAGCATCTTTCGATACAACTTATGAACATGTAGGTATTTTTTTTTTCTGTTTCAGAGGTCAGACCTAGAGCCTTGCATGTGCTGAACAAGAGGTCACCAACTGTCCTTATTCCCAGCATTTTTTTCCCTTGACTTTGTATCTCAAGAGGGTCTCACAATCCTATTTCAGACACCTGAGTGCTGGGTTTCCAGGTCTGAACCACCAGGCCAGGCTTCCATCCCTTTGCCACTGCAATCTTCTAACAAGGTCTCTAAGGCCAGGCGTCTCTGGAGGAAAGACTACCCTCTGCATTGTGTATGTGTGAATGAGAAGGTGGTTCCTACGGTTGCCCAGGGACCCAGATAAGAAGCTGGGGCCCATGGTCCTCCCAAACCCTGAAAGACATGCACGACACCTACCTGCAAGGAAGCCACACCCCACACCAGAATGTGGCTGGTTAAAGGAACAAGAAGAAAGGAGTCCTCCCAGATCCCTGCCACCTGCAGAGTCACTCCGGACACTGTCACTCTGGACACTTGACAACCTAGAGAGGGGAGGGAGGGCAAGGTCTGGCTGGCTGGCTGGCTGAAGCTATCTCCTCCGGTACCAGCATGCAATCCCACATTGTCCTCCTCCTGACTCGAATGGAACACTACTGACATGTTCTGGAGGAACCCGAGGCCACAGTAGGGAAGTCATCGGCTAGGACAGACAGCCAGACAGAAAGCAAAAGCATCAAAGCCCAAGGGAGAGGTTTCACTGGTGACTGCCACGGCTTCCCCTTTTGTCACCATGTTAGGAGGATGCTTCCTCATCGAGACAGGCTCATTCTGGTACCTTCTCAGTTCCCACTTATGCCAGGGAGGCCTGGCTCTGGCTGGACCCCGGACTGCGGAGCTTGCGATGATCGGTCCAGGGAGAGGAAGCAAGGCAGTTCCTTTCTCCAGGAAGCCCAGAGGACCTAACATGACCAGCTATTAGAGCTGGGGGTAAGGGTGCCCAAGGTCACTGATTGGCCAGCTCATTGTGGCAGCTCCAGTATGGGGCAGAGGATGAATGGAAGGTTCTTCCCTGGTCTCAGTGGCTGGTGCAGATGACATCAGCATTTGGGGAGCAATTACCTGACACCTCGATTCACTCGCAGTCCAGGTAAGAGCTGTGCCTAAGAAGCTCTCTTGCTTATCAGCCACACACATCCTACCGGACTCCCCCGCCCCGTGCCCCTATGTAGATTCCGAATGGGCCACCACAGTTCATCACACATCCATACACTGTCCTCCCTCACAACATCCAGGTCGGGTAGGGAATACTGTCCCCATTGTAAAGGCAGACTTAATTGGCTTTGGGCCTGTGAGTCAGCCTGTTTGGGCCTGTCTATGAACTAGGGCTAATATCCTTCTGAGCTGAACAAAAATCCTGAGCCCCACTCTGATCCACGGTAGTGATGGTTTGACGATGAGAACCCAGTATCTTGGCCACTATGGAGTCTTTCTTCCACCCCCTTTCACCGGGTTAGGAAGGAAATGAGGTGAGCAGGGGCTGTGGGTGTAAGCAGCTCTCCCAGCTTCTTCGAAGACGCTTTCCTTGATACCAAAGTTTGCACCAAGAACCTCATACATGCTACATGCTAGTCAGTGCTTTACCCCTGGGTTATATCCCTCTATGTGAAGGATTCTGATGCTCATGGTTCATTTCCAGAAATGCTGGCCAGGAGACAGATCTCCTGAAACACCCCTCTCCTCTCCAACTCCAAGGTACTTCCCACAAAAGCAGATGCAGGCTTCATTCTGATACTGGATCAAGTTCAAATACACAGAGACAAGGTCCCCACACCTCAAGAACTGCTTTTTTTTTTTTGACAGGGTTTCTCTGTAGTTTTGGAGCCTGTCCTGGAACTAGCTCTTGTAGACCAGGCCGGCCTCGAACTCACAGAGATCTGCCTGCCTCTGCCTCCCGAGTGCTGGGATTAAAGGTGTGCGCCACCACCACCTGGGTCTAAGAACTGCTCTTCTAACTTCATCTCCTACTCCGGAATCCTTCTCCACCACAGATGCCTGGGTGATACACGACCCATTTCTAAACTGCCTTCTCCAAGAGGTGCGGCAGAGACCTCCTCCCGACCCCGAGAAGACACACCACTATCCTTGTTAAACACTGCTCTTCAGACAAGCCTGTCTCCGCTCTCCCTGTCTGTGTATTTCCTTTTCTCATGATCAGGATGCATCTGCTACACAACCAAGACTCAGGAAATGTAAAGGTGAGGGGAAGGGAAGGAAGCATGATGAAGGGGAGAGGGGAGAAGGAAAGAAAAAGACACTAGAAGGGGAGAGGAGAAGGGAGGAAACTTGTGAATTGAGGGGGGCCTAGGACTAAGAAGTTTCGACCGAGCAAGTGATGGAGCTTCAGCATTCTGATGCATAAAATGAAGAGACTTGTGAAAGATACTTAGCCTCCTTGACTGACTGCAGACTTCGGTAAAAAGCCATTCCAAGTCATGACAATGGCTTGAGCCTAGGAACTTACACATGCTGGTCAAGTGCTCCATCACTGAGCTACAAGTTCCTGAAATTAGGAAGGATTCTGACTCTCATGGTTCATATCCAGAAAGGCTGGCCAGGAGCCACAGTCTCCCGCCACACCCAAAGTCCTCCAACTCTAAGCAAAATCAGGAAGATGCTTCCCACTGAAACGCATCTCGCACAGTCGACAGTAATATTCTGTTCTTGCTGTAGTCCTCTGGGTCACACAGTAGCACACAGTATACACTAACTGAACAAACCTGAGACTACAGCAGTCCTCACACTTCTAACCAACCCTCCTTGGACTCCTACGGTGAGCTTGGCGTGGGAGAGGGCACTCTGAGCTCCCTCCCTGCTGACCTGGGGAAAATGTTTCAGGAGATCCCGCAATGGCTCCGGGATCCTACCCACTCCGGGCCTCCAAATCAAGGATCTAACTCCTTCCGGTAACTCCGCCGGTTCGGAGGGATAATGACAGGGCAGTAGCTGGGGCAAGCGCCGCGATGCCCCCGCCCAGTTCGGGAAAAACAAGGCAATCAGAAGCCAAGTGACCGGAAGGCAGGGACGGACAGGTGAGAAGTGGAGCCGAACGCGGACTCGGATCCCAAGTCAGACCCGGCTGAGGCTCGCGATCCCGAGCCCCAAAAGGGGACCGGGGCCGGGGACTGTGCGGGGCTGGGGAGGGTGTAGGAAAGAATTGACTGGGCACACCTGGTCCCGACCCCCAGCCCGGCCTGCCACCAGCCCCCTGCAGTCTCACCAGAAGAGGATCCACAGCCGATTCAGCTTCAAGGTCCGTAGCCCGCCGGGATCAGCTGACCTCCGCGACGCCCCGCCCTCTCCGTGCGCTGTGGGCGGAGCCCGAGGCGTCCGGGCACGCAGGCGCAGTCTCCATGCTGCGTGCCGCGTCCCGAGCTGTGGGCCGAGCTGCTCTGCGCTGTGCGCGTCGCTCCGGGCCTTCCGTGGCGCGTCCTCTCGCCATGTCCCGACCTCCTCCGCCCGGCGCCACCTCGGGCGCCCCTCTCCGGCCCGCCACGATTCTGGGCACTATGGAGATGGGGCGCCGCATGGATGCGAGCGCCAGCGCCGCGACGGTACGCGCCTTTATGGATCGCGGCCATAGAGAACTGGACACGGCCTTCATGTACTGCGACGGACAGTCCGAGAGCATCCTGGGCAGCCTGGGGCTTGGGCTGGGCAGCAGCGACTGCACAGGTAACCGCTGCACCTGACCCCACACCCCTGCACCGAGTAGAGCTGAGCTTGTGCCCGCACCCGGCGTGCACTGCCCAGGTCCGCACCCCCAGGGCTCTGCACCCAGAAGCTTCCTAAGTTCCCATATCCACAGCTGTGCGCGTCGCTCCGGACCCCAAGCTCCTAAGGCTTAGGAGCCTAAACTACCGAACTGAACTTTGTCCCGCCTCTCCTTCGAAGCTTCTGGAGTTGCAGCTCGGGGCGCGGGGAGAGAGGGGAGCAGCAGGTGCGAGGGAGCTCCTGTTCTGGCCCCTTGTCTCCAACGTCAATCCCTGCCTCCCAACTCTTCAGTTGCTTCCCCCCCACCCCTCCATAGGCTTTGTGCTTATGCCCTCCCCTCTTGTCCGCACCACCCCTGCGCTCCAGGGACATGTTTTTCATTCCGGGCTTTGCAGACTTTGTCCTGTGCGGTTGACAGTGCCTGTGGCTCTCAAGGAGACCTGCGGCAATGCCAAGGGCCCAAGGTGGGCAGGGGTGGAAAGTAGCGTGGGGAGAGGGCACTTCCAGCCTTTCTACCCACGCTGTGCCAGATCTTGCACTGGGGACTACTACAGTGGGGAAGTGACTAACCCACAGAGGGAGTTCCAAGTCCAGCATGGAAGACCGAAGCCGTGTTTGCTGGGGAGTGCAGGTGGGAGTAGCTTGTGGAGGCCCCAGGGAGAGCAGCAGGCAAAGCTCACAGAGCCCTGAGGCTAGGCCTTGCCTTGTAAGTAACACCGAGGAAGGGGCGCGCTGGAGGCTGAAGTCTTAGCTGTTAGATGGAGCTTGAGAGTGCAAAGTGCATGCGTGGGGCAGGATGGTCAGTGGCGTGTGTCCCTTGATGGAAGATGATGGGAACTGTCCCTCGTTTGCTTGAAGCCACTGGAAGTCTCAGGAGTGCGCCTGATACACAGGGAGGCCCCTTTTTTTTGCTATCCGGAGACTCCTCCTCTCCTTTCCTGTACAGCGGTCCTCTCTGGAGCGCTTTGGACTCAGAACATGGTGTAGAACTGGAAGGGCATAAGTGAGCAGATGTCTTAAGCCCAGCTCTGTAGCGTTCACCTGGCTGATTTGTTTCTGATCTGATTCTTTTTTCTTTTTCTCTTTCTCCTCTCTCTCTCTCTCTCTCTCTCTCTCTCTCTCTCTCTCTCTCTCTCCCTCCCTCCCTCCCTCCCTCCCTCCCTCCCTCCCTCCCTCCCCTCTCCCCTCTCTCTCCCCTCTCTTTAACACAGGGTTTCTCTGTGTAGTCTTGACTGTCCTGGAGCTTGCTCTGTAGACCATTCTGGCCTTGAATTTACAGAGATCCACTTGTCTCTCTGACTCCTGAGTACTGGGATTAAAGGCGTGCACCATCACCACCAGTTTTTCTCTTTAGCCCATTTCTGCTTTTCTTTGAGTCTTCGTATTCACTAGGCCAAAGTCCTCAGGTCACACTTGTGGTAAAAATTTACATGAGAGTGCCTTGGAGCCGTGTGTGTGTGTGTGTGTGTGTGTGTGTGTGTGTGTGTGTGTGTTACAGCCTGGAGATACTGTGGTCTTCTTTCCTCTATCCTGTGGGATCAGAGGGCTCCCCATTGTCTTTCTGAGTCAACATAGGCAAATATTGGTGCATAGAATCCATCATCCATCCATCAATCCAGGTAGTTGAGCACAGAATCCATCATCCATCTATCAGTCCAGGTAGTTGAGCACAGAATCCATCATCCATCCATCAGTCCAGGTAGTCGAGCACAGAATCCATCATCCATCAGTCAAGGTAGTTATGATCTCCTATCTGGGAAGAAACAGTGCTGAATAGGTGACTGAGGAATGTGTGGGCTTCTGAGAGTCTGGAAGGGATTCTACTTAAGATTGGTTGCTGTCAAAGAACACATTCAGGTGCCTGTATTGCTTCCCTGTAACTGGAGGTTTCTCTCATGCCCACCAGTTCCTGATTTACCACTCAGGGGCTTAATATTAATTACAAACTGTTTGGCCTATTAGCTCAGACTTATTATTAACTAGCTCTCACAACTTAAATTGACCCATTTCTATTAGTTTATATTTTACCATGAGGCTCGTGACTTGTTACCTCACATCTTGCTTCTCCAGTGGCTGCTCAAGGCAGCCTGTCCCAGGCTCCGCCTTCTTTCTCCCTGTCCCTTTGCTTGGATTTTCCATCTAGCTATATTCTGTCCTGCCATAGGCCAAAACAGTTTCTTTATTAACTAATGTTAGTAAATCATATTCGCAACATACAGAGGGGCATTTCACATAACATCCCTAATTTTGGGGGCAGGGGTGGTGTTTTGTTTTGTTTTTCGAGACTGGGTGTCTGTGTAGCTCTGACTACTCCAGAACTTACTCTGTAGACCAGGCTGACCTCGAACTCAGAGATCCACCTGGCTGTGCCTCCAGAGATTAAAGGCATGCATCACAACCACCTGACTTTTTTATATTTTTCTGATATTTAACTAATTTATATGTATGTTATTAGTGTTTTGTCTGCATGTATGTATGTGCCCACAGGGGCCAGAGGAGAGCATTGGCTAGCCTGGGACTGTAGTTAACAGATGATTGTGAGCCAACGTGTATGGTGATCGAACCTGGGTCCTCTGCAAGAGCAGTGAATGCTCTAAACCGCTGAACCATCTCTTTAGCCTCCTTAATCAATTCCTTCATAGTCCTTCACTGGTCTCCCTGCTTTCAGGCCTGTCCCCCTGAGGTCCTTCTCCATTCTGTGGCTAGAGGGAGCAAAAGGATGGGCTCATCATCCTGACAAAACTTGGGAACATCAAGTCCAAAGTCTGAGATGGTGTTTGAGGACCTTTGGATATGGAGTCTGTCTGGGATGGCATTTGAGCACCTTTGGGATATGGAGTCTGCTTTCTTCTCATGCTTCAAGCCCTCTGGCCCCTGCCCTGCGATATATATATATATATATACTCTTAAAATTCAAAGTGCAGCCTTGTGTGGTAAGCACCTTTATCCACTGAGACAGCTTACCAGCCAACATTTTTTTTTTAATTCAGCTCTTTTGCTCCATTAAAAGAAATTAAAACTTTTAAAGATGTATTTTTTAAAAATTTATTTATTATGTATATAGTGTTCTGGGCACCAGATCTCATTATAGATGGGTGTGAGTCACCATGTGGTTGCTGGGAATTGAACTCAGGACCTCCGGAACAGCAGCCAGTTCTCTTAACCTCTGAGCCATCTCTCCAGCCCTAAAGATGTATTTTTTAGTGTAGGCATATAAGCGTTTTGTCTGCATGTATGACTGTATGCCATGTACCATGTACCATGTATCCAAAGAGGACGTTGAATTCTCTAGAACTGAAATAATAGGTGGTTGTAAGCTGCCCTGTGGGTGCTTGGGCTTGAATTTGGGTCCTCTGTAAGAGCAACAAGTGCTTTTAACTGCTGAACCATCTCTCCTGACCCTATTTTGTATCTGAATTAAAAAACTATTCTTAAATCTCCCTCAGTTCATAGATAGCATGATTGTCTACATATAAAATCAGAAGGATTTAAAAACTACCTAGAATTTTGTTTTGTTTTGGTTTGGTTTGGTTTCCAAGACAGGGTTTCTCAGTAGCCATGGAGCCTGTCCTGGTACTCACTCTGTAGACCAGGCTGGCCTAGAACTCACAGAAATCCACCTGCCTCTGACTCCTAAGTACTGGGGATAAAGGTGTGTGCCACTACCTAGAATTTGAATGTTTATTTACTTACATATTTTATGTATATGAGTGTTCTCTCTGCATGTTTGCCTGCACACCAGAAGAGGGCACCAGATCCCATTGTAGATGGTTGAGAGCCACTATGTGATTGCTGGAGTTGAACTCAGGACCTCTGTGGGAAGAGCCAATGTTCTTAACTGCTAAGCCATCTTTCCAGACCCCTACCTAGAATTTAAGAAGAAAAAAAAAGATTATTTAATCCCTGCCCCCTCCATATGAGGACAGTTCCAGTATTGTTATTTCATTTTACAGATTAGAAAATAGGGACCAAATTAAGTAATTTAGCCTGGAACATTTACATTTACATGGCCAGTGAATAATTCTAATTAATCTTTGTTGTTGTTGTTGTTGTTTTGGTTTTGGATTTTCGAGACAGGGTTTCACTGTGTAGCTCTGACTGTCCTGGAACTCATCCTGTAGACCAGACTGGTCTCGAACTCAAAGAGATCCTCCCGTTTCTGCCTCCTGAGTGCTGGTTTTAAAGACATGCACCACCATGCCTGGCCTTCTAATAAATCTCTTAATCATTATACTCTTCCTGCAAGTGAAAATTGCCACCAAGGCCAACCCTTGGGATGGGAAGTCGCTGAAGCCTGACAGTGTCCGGTCCCAGCTGGAGACGTCCCTGAAGCGGCTGCAGTGTCCCCGGGTGGACCTCTTCTACCTACACGCTCCTGACCACAACACCCCCATAGAGGAGACGCTTCGTGCCTGCCACCAGCTGCAGCAGGAGGTGAGGGTGGCTCCTGAGCTCAAAGAGGTGATTTCTATGCCTCTCGTCCTGACTCTGACACAATAGTGAGGCTCTCTGTGCACCCAGGGTAGAACTGGGCGTAGATTCTACTCCCAGGTTCCTCACCCAGTTGGTTTTCTCTTCTTGGTTCCTTGCACTGATCTGAGTCCTCTCCCCTGCAGGGCAAGTTTGTGGAGCTTGGCTTGTCCAACTATGCCTCCTGGGAGGTGGCTGAGATCTGTACCCTCTGTAAGAGCAACGGCTGGATCATGCCAACTGTGTACCAGGTAAGGGGAACTTGGTGTGCTAGGATTACTCAGACGTCAGAGATCAATTGATCCCGAGTTGTCTTATGCTTTGGACCCCACCTTAGACCCTCTGCAGAGTAGCCACCCGTCCTCAAAGCCTGTGGGTACCACCTAATTTCTTACCAACCCGGCTGTTGCTCACCCACTCGCTTACTACCTGAACACACACACACATCTCCGTCCCTTCCTCCCACCCCACACTCCAGCCTAGATCATACCTCCCCACATCCTCGAAGTACTCAGCTTTAACCCAGAAGGCTCTTTCCTGGGAATCCGGTGCCCACAAGCCCTTAGGAGCCTCCAGTCTCTGAAACATGTCTTCGTATTCTGAGCCACTTGGAGTACTCCTCCATCTCAGAGCCCACCTTTGTGCATTTCTTCGCAGAGTAATTTTTGTTGTTTTTTGTTTTTGAGACAGGGTTTCTCTGTGTATCCCTGGCTGTCCTAGAACTCACTCTGTAGACCAGGCTGACCTCGAACTCAGAGATCCGCCTGCCTCTACCTCCCCAGTGCTGGGATTAAAGGCATGCCTCACTACCGACTGGCTTTCTCTGTAGATTTTTCTTATTGTGGTGTTTGTTTATTCTGTGGTACTGGGATTGAACCCAAGCCCTGGTATATACTCTATCACCAAACTATACCTCAGCCTGCTGTCTGCCTTTTTAGTACATTTATTATATCTCCTGGAAGCAGAGAATTTGCTAAACTTTTGAGTTGTTGTGATTTTAGTATCAATCCCATCAACAAGGCCTGGAGATATCTGTAGGTTGATAACCCAAGCCAGTTTCCCCTCTCTATGCCCAACACTCTTCAACCTCATTCCATACTACGTTCTCTAGAATTAAAAAAAAAAAAAAAAAGACCAGTCCCTGTGCCCTCCAGGTGAGAGGTGAAATGACTGGACCTGGGATGGTGTAGATCTAGAGTTTTCAAAGTCGAAAATGGAAAATCTGGGCACAGGGGCGCACACATATATTCCACCTCTTGGAAATCTGAGGCAGGAGGATCACTATGATCAAGGTCAAAACTATTTCAAAAACCAGAAGCGAGGTTTAACAGGTAAAAATGCTTGTCGTGCAACCATGAGAACCTGGATTCTCATTCTCCAGTTGACACGCAAAGCCCAGTGTGATTGTGCGCACTTGTTACCTACTTGTGCTGATCAAGGCAGGAGACTGGAGGATCATTGGGGTTGCAGGAGTCAGGAGGTTCATTGGGGTTGCAGGAGTCAGGAGGATCATTAGAGGGTTGCAGGAGACTGGAGGATCATTGGGGTTGCAGGAGTCAGGAGGTTCATTGGGGTTGCAGGAGTCAGGAGGATCATTAGAGGGTTGCAGGAGACTGGAGGATCATTGAGGTTGCAGGAGACAGGAAGATCATTGGGGTTGCAGGAGACAGAAGGATCACTGGGGTTGCTCACCCAACTCCAAATTCAGTAAGATGCCCTGTCTCAAGGGAAAATAGCAGAGTGGTACAGCAGGACCCCCAACATCTTCTGCTGGCCTTTGCACACATACACATGTATAGCACTTGCTTACAGAACACAGAAATAAAAGAGTGAAGGACTAGCAGGCCCAGGTTACAGACCTTTAGTCCCAGCTGCTGGGGAGGTTGAGGCAGGAGGATCACTTCAGCTCAGGAATTTAAGGCCAGCCTGGCCAGCCCTATCTCTGCAAAAAGAAAGCCTTCCAAAATAAATTATTTTTAAAAAGAGGAAATCTGGGTCCTCTTCCTTAATACATCCACACTTTGCAATAGCCCCTCTCCTTCCCTGCAGGGCATGTACAACGCCACCACCCGGCAGGTGGAGAAGGAGCTCTTCCCCTGCCTCAGACACTTTGGATTGAGGTTCTATGCTTACAACCCTTTGGCTGGTATGGGCTGCCATGGGGACAGGTCCTGTGGGTGGGTGAATGGGTGGGCTTGACTGCCTTACTGGATGCCCTTTCTTGGCTCCCTCCTGCTCTCCAGTTTGCTGGGTGGGACCAGGCAGCAGGGAGCCTCTGGAAGGACTCTGGGCCAGGGGTTTGATTGACAGTTGCCATCCCCAGGGGGCCTGCTAACAGGCAAATACAAGTATGAAGACAAGGATGGGAAGCAACCCGTGGGCCGCTTCTTTGGGAATAACTGGGCTGAGACCTACAGGAACCGGTGAGCTGGGGTTCTCTTTGTCAGGATGGGTAGGGTGGGATGTCCCCTTTTTTTTATGTGACATTCTTAGGTGTGCTTCTAGGGATAAAAACTTCTACTGCCTAGTCTCTCTGTGTTTCTTGATTCGTGTGTATGTGTGTGTGGTTTTTCAAGACAGGGTTTCTCTGTATAACACAGTCCTTTCTGTCCTGGCATCTGCTTTGTAGACAAGGCTGGCCTCGAACTTACAGAGATCCACCTGCCTCTGCCTCCTGAGTGTGGGGATTAGAGGCATGTGCCACTACCACCCGGCTTTGATTCTTGGAAGAAATAGCAAATCCTAAGGTTTCTCTTCTTTTTCTACCTCTGTAAATGGAAATGAGGAAACTCCACCCTCACTCTCAGACTCTGTGGATGCAGAAGTCATTGCTAGTCTGAGATGGGCTATGCCAGGAAGGAATGGGAGAGGACCTTGGGTAGGGGCTTGGGAGGCCAGGGCTAAGTCTGGCTTAGCTTCTCTATTACACTAGGTGAATAGTAGACTGGTCTAGGAATTCCCACTGGTGATCTGGCCAGCAAGTGGGCAGCCCAGGAGTGTCTTACGCCTGTAAAGGAGGAGGTCCTCTCCCAGGAGATACAGCTCCTTCCATGCTACAGGATGGGGGTGGGAGCAGTGCCTTGGTTGGTAGGCTCTTTGGCTTCAGTCCCCAGTGTGACCCAAGATTCTCACCCAGTGCCGCTCTCCCCACTCACTCAGCTTCTGGAAGGAGCACCACTTTGAGGCCATCACCCTGGTAGAAAAGGCCCTGCAGACCACCTACAGCAGCAGCGCCCCCAGCATGACCTCAGCTGCCCTGCGCTGGATGTACCACCACTCAGAGCTCCAGGTAGCCCGGCCCCATGAACTCACCTTCTGCCCCTTAGAGGACCCAGAGCTGCCTTTGAGTGATGTCTAGAGAGTAATTCCTCCAGGACTAGAGAGATCATTTGGTGTATAAAGTGCTTGCCAGGCAGGCATGAGGCAAGTGTCCTATAAAGTGGGGGTGGTTATTATTTATGTCTCCCCAGGGAAGAGGTGTAACAAGGAGCAAGACCCAAGTCAAATATATTCAGTTGTGGAAGACCCTTTTAGATCTACGAGGGTGCTCAGGACAGACATACACAAAGATGCTAGATCTTAGCAGGGGATAGGCAAGGCAGGAGTGGGGAGGCATGTGTGACAGGAACCACTAAGGAGCAGAAGTGTCTAAGATCTGCTATCTCCCCTTGCAGGGCCCCCGAGGGGATGCAGTCATCTTGGGCATGTCCAGCCTGGAGCAGCTGGAACAGAACTTGGCGGCCACTGAGGAAGGGCCCCTGGAGCCGGCTGTCGTGGATGCCTTTAACCAAGCCTGGAACCTGGTCGCCCACGAGTGTCCCAACTACTTCAGATAGATGTCCTGGCTCAAGCTGCCAAGGGCTTTCCCGCCACCTCTTGGCCATTCCCTGCCTGATGCTGACTCACTGTGGCCCTTCTGCTGGTCTCCACCCACGCAGTCTTCTAGATGGCAGCCCTGCTCCCTGTCACCTCTCAGTGAGGAAAGTCGGGGCTGAGCCCTACAGTAGCGCTTCCTGTCTGAATAAAGGAGGCGTCTAGCCTGACTACAGCCGGCACTGAACCTCACGCTGTCTCCTCTGCTCCTCACCTGCTCCCTCCATGCTGCCTCAGGACTCATGAAGGAGGGGGGAACCAGGAGCTGGGGCTTCAGGGAGCATAGGTGTGGGAGGGTCTCACACTGTCTGGCAAGGTCCCCTCACCATGTCCTGATCCAGCCTCACCCCTCACTCTGCTACATGTAACAGAATGAAGTGGGCATGGGTATGCATGCTGGTTAATTCCAGCACTCAGGAGTCTGAGGTCAAGGCTGATCTGTATTCTGAGTTCCAGACCAGCCAAGGATACTTAAGGAGCCCCTCTCAAAAACAAGCATGATGAATCTAAAAAGGAATGGCCTTTGACTCTCTCCTTGAGATGTCTAAATCCTCAGAAGTGGAACAATTTAGATAAAATCTGTAATTAAAGTCACCTTGAAAAGAATAATGTTTTACTGGGCAGTGTTGGCGCATGCCTTTAATCCCAGCACCTGGGAGGCAGAGACAAGTGGACCTTTGTGACTTTGAGGCCAGCCTGGTCTACAGAGTGAGTTCCAGGACAGTCAGAACTACACAGAGAAACTCTGCTTCAAAAAATTAAAAAAAGAAAGAGAAGTGACAAAGAAAAATATTACTATTAATCAGGTTTCTGTAGACTTGGTTTTGTTTGTTTTGAGAGAGGCTCTCAAGTAGACCAGGCTGACCGCAGATTTGCCATGTATCTGAGGATGACCTTGAACCTCTTATCCTTCTCCCTTTCCGGTATTTGATAGACTAGTGCCAACCACTGTGCCTGATGTGCAGACCTGAGAGTCAAACTCAGGGTGTAATGCATGCTGGGTAATCTGACCCACGTATTTTGTTGTTGTTTCTTAATTTTTTGAGATGGTATCTCTCTGTCGCCCAGAATGAACTAAAATTCTGGGGTTCCTCTTGCCTCACCTCCATATACCTGGCAATTCTGGGGGCACCCCACCATTATATGGGACATTTTTAACCCTGGTAACTGCAGTAATGGCTTTAGTCTTAGCTGAAACGTCTTACCTCATCATACTTTGGTTCCTTAGTTTTGACTCTGTGCTGCCTGTTGGGAGGCAGTATCTAGAATGAATTTGGGCTTGTGGTAAAGTCTTGGTACCCAGCTGCTGTTACCTTTGAGAGGCAGGCGTAATAGTGGGGAGTAAGTCACTGGGCATGGATCCATAATGTTCAGATTCGCTATAGGCCAAAGCCAAGGCTGAAGCCCTGAACCAGAATGAACCCTGTGCTCTTCAGCCGTTTTCTCTGGCATTTGTCACTGCCACTGAAAGCACCTAGTGCAGGTGAGCGTGTCTCCACCTTCCTCCCCAAATTCCTTGTACAAACTTGGGGCACCAAAGGCTAGAGAAGGGCAATCCCAGGCCTGTTAGTTGCCACTTGCCTGTTCCCATTGCGACTGAATGCTAGCATGGACTTTGCCCAAGGTGGCAAGTGTTGGGCACTTGGCAGCATCCAGCACTTAGTCCCTGGGAAGCAGGATTCCAGGGGACTCAAGAATACTTGGATCAGTTTCAGAGGAGGAGCCTTGCAGACAGGTTTAATACACTCAGCACCATCCTTTTGTCTGTGACAAAAGCTCAAGCTCCTCCCCCTGGCCTGATAGTCCAGCTTTCCTTGCACACGCTAAGGTGCTTGAATTGTAGTTACTCGAAATAACATGAAGGTACTGTCAGTACCGTCTGTTAAAGTCCTAGCTGTCCGTGCTGGTCAGCATGCTCAACAGCCCTGTACTCAGGAGACCGAGGCAGGGGAATCACAGGTTTAAGGTTATATAGGGCTATGTAGCCAGGCTTTGTCTCTTTGCTTGTTTGCTTGTTTGTTGTTTGTTTGTTTCAAGACAGGGTTTCTGTGTGTAACATCTCTAGCTGTCCTGGAACTAGTTCTTATAGACCAGACTGGCCTCAAACTCACATAGATCTGCCTGCCTCTGCCTCCTGTGTGTTGGGATTAAAGGCATACACCAGCATCGCCTTGCATATCTGTTTCAAAACACACTTACATGAACTACTACATTTATTTATTTACTTACTTACTTACTTTTGATTTTTCAAGGCAGGGTTTCTCTGGACACAGGGCTGCACCCTGGCTGTACAGGAACTTGCTCTATAAACCAGACTGGACTCACTCACTAATTTGCCTGTCTCTGCTTCCTGGGGGGCTAGGATTAAAGGCGTGCACCATTACCATATGGCCCTATGAGATTTATTTTTAAGAGGTTTGTAGTAGTTTAGAGACCAGCCTGGACTGCATAGCTCTAGGCCATCCTGAACTACAGGTGAGACCTTGTCTCAAGAAATAAAAAAACCCGAACAAAAGAAGCTGGGGCTCAGTGGTAAGGAGAGGGATAATGGTGACCCACTCTCCTAGGGACACAGGCAGGTAATAAGAACTATTTGAATATGGGGAGGGGTTGGTCTAGAGAGATGGCTGAGCAGTTAGGAGCAGTTGCTCCTGCACAGGATTTGGGTTTGAGTCCCAGCACCCACATGGTGCCTTGCAAACCTGCATAGCTCCAGTTCCAGGGGGCTGACACCTCTCTTGGCCTCAGCAGGTACCAGACATATCTTAGAACTCATAAAATTTAAATGTAAATATTGGGAGCTAGCAATATGGCTCAGTGGGTAAAACACTTGACCAAACATTAGGATCTCAGTTTGAAGAATGGCACTCAAGTAAAAATCTGGGCATGGCTATGCACTCCCGTAACTCCGGAACTGCGAAGAGGGGAGGCAGGAGGATTGCTGAGTTTACCGACTGCTAGCATAGCTCCAGGTTCATTGAGACACCCTATCTCAAGAGTCAGAGAATAAAAAGGAAGGCCTTATCCATTCTAGAGCCTGACGTGTGCACACACTATTAAACTTCATCTTAGCATAAGTTATTTACATTGTAAACACTTGTTTTGATGGCCATTTTCCTTTACATAAGCAGAGCTGTTGAGGATGAACACTTTTATTTCTAATTAGTGATGCTGCTTTCTCCCCTGCTGCCCTGCTGCCTTGACCAAATAGACTGGTAAAATAGCCCACAGGGTATGCCCATGCCAGCACTGTATATGTTCTGTGTGGTGCTCTGTATGTATAACTGCTTGCCAGAAGAGGGCATCGTATCCTATTATGGATGGTTGTGAGCCACCCTGTGGTTGCTGGGAGTTGAACTCAGGACCTCTGAAAGAACAGCCAGTGCTCTTAATCTCTGAGCCAGCTCTCCAGCCCCATGCCAGTACTTTGAGATAACCAACCTCTAGAGACCCTGAAGGTACATTTCATCCCAGGCTGTGGCAGACACATTACAAGCCTCAGTAAGCTCTAAATGAGCCTGCAGCCATTTCCACCCACCAGAGGGGGAAGTCTTTCCCTTGGTGATCTTGTGGATGGATGGCTGTGGTGCTGATGCTGAGGGACCAGTCTCTGATTGATCCCAAACAGATGCCTCAATGGCTCTAATTGATCCTAAGAGGATTGGCTGTGACTAAACCAAAACAGAGTCTTTAATTAGTTTCAGACAAATGTGATTGCTTCTCAGGGTGCATACACAGACTGTTCAGGCTTACTGCACGAGCCAGGTGGCAGGCATTCCTGTGCTAGCTCAGGTATTACAACATCAGACTCAAGAAAAGCTTCCCTTGAGCCAGCAGGATGACTCAGTGGGTTAAGGAAATTTCCATCAGCCAGGCACGGTGGCGCACTACTGTAATCCCAACACTCGGGAGTCTGGAACTACAGCATGAATAATAAAAGCCCAGAGACAGATACTGGGGTTCAGCCTGAAGATCAGAAGAGCAAAGCAGCCAGCCACTGGCTTTTCCTTTATCTCAGACTAAAAATGGGCGAGATCCTGTCTCCATGAATCCTGAAGACTCCACACACCACACTTCGAGACACCTCCTGTCTCTTCCCCCTTTATATTCCTTTCTCTGCCCAGCCATATCCTTCCTGTCTCAACTGTCCTAGTTCTGGGATTAAAGGTGTGTGATACCAAGTCCTGGGATCCACTTTGTGTGAGCTCTCTTTCTCTTTTAGAGATGCAGTCTTGTGTAGCCCAGTGTGGCCTTGAACTAGCAAAGATCCCTCTGCCTCTCTCTCTCCTGAGTTCTGGGATTAAAGGTGTGTGCCGCTGCTCTCTGGTCTGTATGACTGACTAGTATGGCTGCTTTGTTCTCTGATCTTCAGGAAAACTTTATATATACCACTATATTTCATCTTTTTTGTCCAAAATAAAAAGGCGATAACCAATATAAGAAATCTATATACAATAAGTAAAATAACTATGTACAATATATACAGGCAATAAATATATCAACAATGTGTAGTTCGTTTGCATTTGACAAATTCAAAGGAAATACTCTATTATCTATCCTATCTTGGTGAGTCTAAAGTCTTGTACCTAATTTGCTTTCTATGATAACTTGATTTCTGTATCTGGTAAACAAGGAAATCTACAACTATCTAGTCTTCAACTCCCTCAGAGACCCAAGAAGAAAATAATATTAACTGAGTAAGCAGGAAGTACGAGCAAGCAACTTCCAAAAATGTGAGAAATGACAGAAACAGCTGGCTTCCTGGACAGTCACCCAAAGTTCCTCTGCAATTTTGGGACCTACAGGCCTAGCATATCCAACAGACTTTTCTGTGAAGCAGGATATTCTGAAAGGTTGTCCCTCCTTGTCTTGACAATGTTTGGCAGTCACTTTCTTTTGTGTTCTGTTTGATTAGGACAGCATATTGTCATCTGTTGAGGCAAGGATATTTTCTTGCCCAGTGACTTACTTTTCCACAAAGAAAGTAAACTTTATCTGGAGTGTCTTCAATGCCCATCATCTTTTCTGAAGTAGATTGGTGCTGCCAGGAGCAGACATGTCTCATTGTCATAAAAAAAGAGCCTATGTTATTAAAACATCATAAATGCCACATTCTGTAGATCTCTGAAGTGTTTGATGATGACCTGTCTATCTAAAATATATCTTTGTTTGACCTTGATTATATACCTAAT